TATTATTATTATTATTATTATTATTATTATTATTATTATTATATATATATATGTATATATATATATATGTATATATATATATATATATATGTGTATATATATATATAGATATACAGTCCAAAGCCTTCAGTCCAGTTGACGCGAGGATCTCTATTGCGAACTCAATCCGTGTCAGTGGATGGAGCTCTTGACATATTCCACACTTGGTGTATGACGCTGACGCTGGTCGTTTGGCGCATGCAACTGCGGGCCTTTTGGGTTGACAGGTGGCGGAGCTTCCTCGCTGCTGGCGACACCATGAAGCCATCCCAAGCTGTACCTGATGCCTGGCACCTACAACTGTTTCCGGGAGCCACGCCGCAAACTCCTGCCGGAGAGACTGCGTGCCGACCTAAGCACGGCAAAACGGGCGAGCCAGGGCGGAAGAAGCTGTCTTCAAGCTCAAGCCGGGGTTGCAGCGCGAGCTCTAAGTACATGACCTCTCAGCACAAAGGCTCAGGGCGAAGGCTTGCAGCACTTCCTATGCCAGCACCAGCTCTTGGCTCCTTTGCCTTAGACCTAAAAGCTTCGGATCCTCCGGGCCCGGGGCGGAAATCCGTGGCACCCGGCGGCTGAGAAAGTGGGGGATCTGGATCTGTGTCGCCTTGAGTCATTCCGGAATGCAAGCATTTGCGCTGTGCCAACTTCTGCAGTGCGGGGCTCATGTTGGCTGACAACCATCGGTCGGCTGAGCAACGCGCAATCTTCGGATTCCTGCACATCACGCTTCAAGCAAGCAGCTCTGGTGGTCCCTACTTGATGTTTCGTGCGAAGTCCAACCAACTAGCCTATACGAGAGACACCAATTCCTTGCGAGGGCACAGAACGTGCTACCACTGCTTCGATTGGCCTTGTGCAGGATCTGAGTCCCCCAGTTATGCAAGAGACAACACAAAACCGATACCGGGAAAGCCCTCAAATGCTTTCCTCGCTTTTCCGTACGACTGTTTCTGTTTGCCTGAATGGCAGGTCGCCCAACTATAGGGATGAACTTGAACTGACCGATGCTGCGGATCATCACGACACTACACAACCCACCCTGCAGCGCATTCTACATCTAGCTCCACACCATAAGTGTGGTCTCGAACTCCTTCCAAACATACTTCACTTTAGGCTTCCAAGCGCTACTCTCGTTCGCCCCACGAGAGACTAAAAAACGGACTTGACAGTTCAATCATCGCCGAGACGCCAGGCGCTGCTCGTTTTCCCTCCGCGCAGCCTGGGCTGCAGAAGAGCTTCGTCCCGTTGCATTTGCGTATCTGCATTGTAAATATTAATAAAACCTCTCCTGCGAGTGCACCCTTATCAATGAGCTTGGTTTGGTACCAAAGCCAACTAGAACTCATGAGCCTGTGTTGGGCATGAGCACTGAGATCCATGCGGTCACGCGCACCCGCAGTTGGGCACTTTGCCTTAGGAAGGTGTGATGGGAAATAATAGTGGGAAGATGCGGATAAGCAGAAGGATGTTTCAAGACCAATCTCGGGAGGCCTTGAATTGAAACTTATGGCTGGCAGCGCAGCTAGCAAGCTGCTTGAACATCGGCAGCAGGTCGCATGGGAATGTCGAATCAATTTCAACATGTGCCACATCAGCGAACAACTAGGTCCACAGGCGATCTTGGAAAAGAATCGGCATGCCTGTCCTGCGCGAAGGCCGTCATGCATCCAGCTGCTTTAGCTATTCGTCAGACACACCCCGCCAAAGAAGGATGCGTGAGCCTTGACTAAGCCACGGGGCTGTTCTGTCGCTGAATAGTCCGAGCTGTTGGCCACTGATTGAGAAGCACCGAGGAAGTCACAAACATTCGTGCGAGAACCCCTCCTGGTCAGGGACGATCGGCTCTGCACCACCCCTGTGACCACAGCACAGCTTGACCGGGAGGTTGGAATACGTGGACTTACTCAGAGCTTTGCGACATTTTTGCGACTAGGATATACGCTGGTTTGAGGACGAGTGGTGGCTACGCATGACATCCATCCAAATTTCTCCGCAGCGAATCGTGTGTCGTTCGGACGTGGCTACGGCTTCCCGGAACCTCAGGATCTAGCCAGAGCACGGACGGGCACAAGTCTGGGTGCCATGCATGCTTTGCAACAGCCGGTCCAGCCTCTACATGTTCAGGAAACATGGTCGCTACTTGTCCGTGTCTGATGTGACCGTGCCGATGCAAGAAACGGATACTAGGAGCTGCGTCTTTTGCACCAAACCTAACACTTATAATAAGGAACCCCCACAACAAAATAGTGCGGGTAACTATTAAGGCCCCTGTATTGGAAAGACCTATCTCCAGCGTGCATGCAGCATGCGTCTGGCACGCAGCCCGAGGCCGTAGCTGACGGGTGCGGGCCCGCAAGCAGCCCTCGAGCCTCAGGAACTCGGAAAAAAAGACTCCAATGGGATTAGACACTGAAGATCCGTCGCAGTAGAGGCCACAGCTGTAGTCGGCTATACTTTCGTGGCTGCTCATGAGGCTTGAGAGCTAGCAGCCGCAAGTCTACCTCATCTGCAGCTGGTCTTGCTACACAAACAGGTATGTGTCCACACGGCATCCAACTGGGGATTGTCCATCGCTTATGGCTCGAAACTCTTGCGGTTGGACAAGCAAGACAGCAGTCCATCTTCCGAGTTCACTGCTGCTCCACTCTGCCCGACAGGTGCCTCTCCTCATCAACTAGGCTCTGTGAACATATCCAACCATTCATTGGCAGGTGGCACTATGTCAGGCAGTTCAGGCCCCAAGGACTATTCCCAACATTTTCAAGTTTTGCTGCAGGAGGAACAAAGCGCTCGTCTCGCCATGGCCGACATTCTGACATCCCACTCGTTGCACTCATCTCGGATACTAATACAAGCCAGCAAAAGTCGGCCTCCTGCTGCTGGGCCGTCAGCTCCTGCCGCAACCGGCGACACTCCTTGCAAGACGCTGCGGTGAAGTTTACTGATACTGAATGAGAACACCCTGGCTTTAGCTTCAGGTTCTGGACCGCATTTTTGTCACTCTTGTGTACTCGAGTCGTCAGCATTCCGAAGCAAGCTGATGCCGAAGCGGTCGTGCAGCTTGCCAAGCAGCCCCGTCACCATCTCGATGCCTGTTGTTGCCGACATGAACTTGAAGAACTTTGTTTCAATGTTGCTCGAACTTGTGCAGCAGTTCGTTCGTCGCAGGAAACGGATTTCTCAAACGAGCACAGCCACACAGGAGGCCAGCACAGCTTCAGCACCTCTCTTGCCGCGAACTGCCCAATGCGGCGGACTGCCCAACTGCACGTGACAAGCCTATGGTAAGCTCACATGCACAACCAAGCGGATGGTACTCCTACGGTCCTATGGATCTTCTGCAACGGTGATTCATCCTCGGCTGCTGCTGGGGCCTATGAAGCGGGCGTCTAGAAGGATCCGAGGACTGTTGCCCTGCATACAAATGTCAACCCATTTCTGCATGGCATTCTACATCCATCCGCTGTCCATCCGAAGCATGTTGAAGAACACGTGTCCTTCGTTCTCCCAAGAGGATCTGTGTGAAAGGACGGCGGGCAGTCCGTGACTGTTGCAAAAGGCAAAAGTAGCTTCGCGGAGTGCAGCCTCAGGCAATGGCACTCTGCAGGCGCTTTTCCATCTCGGTTGCTGGCGAGCAGGTGCACTGAGTTCCAATACTGGTAGGCAATTTGCAAAGGACAGGAGAATGAGGGCATATTTGGGACTTTTGTCCGAACGACTAGCCGTGCTATGCAACACCAGTTGTATGTGGCACGACCCTCTTTTTCGAAACCTGCTAGTACTACTGGTGGTAATGCAACCAGTGCCAAGGTTGCGGCTGTCGTGGTCGTCGAAGTCAGTGTCAACGCCGTGGTGGTGATGGTGGTGGTGGTGCTGCTGCTGCTGGTTTTTCTAGTGCTGGCGCCGTTGCTGGTGCTGGTGGTGGCGGCCTAGTAGTAGTAGTAGTAGTAGTAGTAGTAGTAGTAGTAGTAGCAGCAGTAGTAGGAGTAGTAGTAAGAGTGGCAGTAGTAGCAATATGTAGCAATCGTAGCAGTATAGTAGCTGTTGGAGCAGTGGGAGTAGGAGCAGTAGCAGAAGCAAGCAGCAGCAGCAGCAGCAGCAGCAGCAGCAGCAGCAGCAGTTGCCACTACTACCACTACGACAACTACTACACCTACTGCTGCCCCTGCTGCCGCTGCTGTTGCTCCTGTTGCTTTCAGGCTTCCGCACGACTCATATCCTTTCCGTGTGCTTGGATTCTTTTGGACTGAAACGTTGAAACGACATGTTGCTGAAGTTCGAGCATTTCCTGCTACTCTAGTGGCAGCCCTTTCACACCTGCTCGCCCTCTTTCCACGTTCAATCTATCTTCTGTCGTGTTCGTGCCGGTCTACACCGGCGGTGAAAGCAGATTCTGAGGCGCTTCGGTCTAGGGATGACCAATGCAGCTCATCTTGGCTCGCTCCGCCATATTGGCTTGTTGCCTTCTCTGCTTGTGTTCAAAACCCCTTCGACACATCCACACAAGTAGTTGTCAGCTATGGTTCCTTACGGGCAGTTGCACAGCCTGCATAGGTTCCAACTTCTCGGCTAAGGCTGCCGAATCGGCTCATCTTTCGCAGAAGCCCTGCCAGCTACCTTGTCGCACTTCACAGTCATCCCCGAACGTGCAACTTGCAAGCTGATCTGGTAGACTTGCTTGCGGATTTCGCTAGCTTACCAACTGACCAAGTCAGGGGTGAGGCAGTGTTCCCAAGAAACCTCAGCATGCACACCACCTCCACTGCTGCCAGTGGGCTTTTGGGAGGCTGGCTCCCTTGTGTCTTCCACACTGACCACCCATCATCCGCCTGACCGAGCGCCGAAGGGCCCAACATGCACCCTACCAATGCAGGTCGCAAGCCTCTTAGTTTAGTTTGGAACCCTGCCAAAAAAGCTCACCATCCTGTCGTAGCTTGACTGGAACAAGCACGGCCTTTGAGTCAGCAGAAGGTTGCCAGCCACGCAGCCAACTGGTCCACATCAGGGACATTCTGAGTCACGAATGGATGTGCCTCATGTACCACTCGAACAAAGACGAAAGGTGATGGCCCCGTTCAGCCTACTGGCATACCGTCAAGCCCCCGGCCAGCAAGTACTCGGTGTCGGCGCGTCTTGCCACATCGCGCGTAAGGCACAGCGCGTTGAACTCGACAAGCTCTGGAGGAAAGTCTGGCGTCAGCCTACACGATGCATTACGGAATATTGCTGCAAACTTAAGGGATGCTGTGCGATGAGCTGCTTGCTTCAGAACTACCCCGCTACCTACCCCTGCAGGCACAACCACCTCGGCTCAGGCTTCTCGCACAAGTGGTCGAAAAGGACCTGAAAAGCTCCAGGTGATTCTTACTCTTCGTGCAGGTACACATCAGCTGCTCGCAGTGCGCAAGTGGTGCCGTGCGTCTAGCCGGATTCGTGGCAGAAAGACGAATCAGACTTGACAAGTCACAGAACCGAGGGCCACCTCTTGTTTTGGAAGAGATTCCAGGACCGCCGGCTTGATCCAAAGTTTCCTCTCCCTGCCCCGTTTCTTACAGTTTCCGACAGCTTGCCAGAACTTGCAGGCATGGTGCGGGGAAGGATCCGATGTCCGCAAACGGATATCTTCCCGTGCTGAGCTCCTGAGATGGTTCCGAGACGTTACTCAACAACAACATTCGAAGGATATCGATAAACATCGGGTCACCGAGAGATCCTCCTTACATGTTTGCAACTGGCTGAAGTTTGAAGTCCAAGGCTGCGACAACATGATCCAAGTGAATCTTTGCTGCCACCAAGGCACGTAGATCACCATTCCTACACTCCAGATGTCCGAAGCGAAGGAATAGTCCTGGCCTAAACAGCGTTCTGGCGACATGTAGGTCACCTCAGGAGGCGAAGCAACACTGACGTGGCCTCGTGTTCGTGGAGACATCTGCTGTTTCTGAACTTCTGCTACCAAGAAATGGGATAAAGGCCTGAGGTCAGGTTTCTTTTAGATCCGATGCTTATAAGGGGGTCTGAGCATCTGACCGTGCCAACGAAGGTTCCTGCCATGGCCAAGGTCTTGTCAAGATCCTTGGCAATGCCGAAATCGGTGAGTTTGACGAAGCCGCTTCTGTTGTGAAGGATGTTCTCCGGCTTGATGTCTCGGTGCAACATCTTCTTCTTGTGCAAGTAGTCGAGGCCATTCATGATCTGGTAAGTGATATTGGACAGGTAGAACGGGGGCACCCCGCTCCCACCAAGACGCTTCTTGAGGTCTGCAAGACTACCCAAGTCCATGAACTCCAATGCGACGTGCACGACGCTGGTACGCTTGGACATGAAGCCTGCGTACCTAGGACAACGAGCCGCGATCTAAGACGCAAACCGCCAGACTGCAAATCCAAATTCAACTTATCAGGGAAACCACCAGAACGGGAATGGCTGCCAACGACAGGGTGAGCTGCCAGTGGACGAGATTAATGCAGCCGTCCGCTGCGATAAGACCTCGGATCTCGTTGAGAAGCTGCTCGCGCTTCCCCTTGTCGTCAACTTTTACCGTTTTCACCTTGGCAGGTCATCCTGTCGCTTGCTACCAGTAGCACATCTGCGTTCAAACGTCAACTGAAGGCAGCTCGGCATGATTTACACGTCTTTCCATAGACCAGGCCACCGGGGTTACACGTCAATCGCTCGCGACGTGATGAGACTGAGGATGGAACGGCGACAGGAACTCCCGTCTGCTTGATGACACCCTTCATGACCTCGGCTAGCGGGCTTCACATCTCTGGACGTAAAGCACTGGGCCTGTTGTGCCACATGCATTGCATTCGGACATGCACTTTGGGCAGATCCGGAACACGACGAAAGGCTTTGGGATCAAGTGGGCTTGCGAGCGTGTTTGATTATCCCATCTCATCTTTGCACAGTGCTGCACTGTCAGGGAAGCACATGCTGCAAAGCCACAGGCCAGTTGAATAATCGTCTCTAGTGGCTCATCACCCTTTGCCTTCACGTCGGCAAGACCCTACGTCCCCCTTTGAGGAGAGGACGACACCGCAGGCCCCAGCTCCGAGATGCGAGTCCGCCTCCAGCTCGATGTCCTGTGTGCCCGTAACAACATGTGTCGATTTTCCCGAAGGACGACTCGTCAAAACTGCCGAAACCCAAGCAAACATCTCTCATCCCCGATGCATTTCTGTTTAGTTTCGGTGTGCGGCGAGGGTTGCTGCTGTGCCAATGATGAAAGAGTGTGTTTAGGAAGGACAAATTTTGCAAACCTGGTCTGGTAGTGTCAACATGACAAGGCCTGCCCGCATATGCCCACTTGCCGTTCTGATAAATGCACTCGCTTGCATGTCTTTCTATATTCCATTCTTCTTCTTGCAGGCCCAGCAGGAAGAACAACATAGTGATAGCACTCGTCCAGTCTTGCATATATTCCTGCGTCTGCCATAGGTTGTAGTTGCCTCCTCTTCGGCATTGCCACTTGCCACGCTGCTTGCGGGCTCTAGTAGCTTTTCTGGTCCATCTGTCTGCCGGATCCCCTGTAATTAGGTCTGTAGTCTTTAGTTCCGCATCGCAGGAGTTGACCGGGTCCCCTGTCCAGTCCCCGGCCTTGTTCCGACTGGGCAAAGCGCTCTGTGTGCAGCCCATTCATTTCAGCTTCTGCACTTCTCGTGTTACGCCGGCTTCCTGCAGTGCTTCTTCTATCTTCGCCCCCACCAGGAGACACTGCATGTCAGGGGGGCACCCTCCCTCTTCTGGGGCGGCCTCAATAGATGCCATGGCACATGTGACCGCCGCGTAAATAACACGCACATAAACGAACCCCCGAAACAGAACCCAGTCCTCCGGCGACAGGCGATATTCTTGACCTTCATACCTGCTCTTTCTCTGCTCAGCGGATCAGCGATGCGACGTCACGAGGAGACATGCTGGCGAACTTTCTGCACAACGATCACAAGATCACGTTAAACTTGAGAAGCCTCGATGCCTTCACACGGAGGTTTCAGCCGAGACACGTGATGCCGGCATCAGTCGATACTTTCGTGCCCGTCTTTTTGTGACGCATCGTTCCAGTGGCAGCGTCAATTTCCCAGGTCATAGAAACCGAATTGTCGTCGTCCACATCGTCCATTTCGAGCCTTGCCCGGCTCAACTTCTGGACTGCTCCGAGCCGGAGCTCGCTAAATCAACGAATCCGGTTTACAACAGCATATATCTCCATAATCACTGTGGGGCAATGGATAGTGATAGTGCGCCAATTTGTGCCGCAACGTGGAACATAGAAAAGATCCAAGGCGCATCATCCCCGGCGGCATGGTTCTTCAGCGCGTCCCTGAGAGAAGGACACGGAAAGGGCCTCAGCAAAAACAGAACATGCAGGATTGGCCAGGACAAGGAACAAAAGTCATGCAGCAATGCAGCTTCTGCCGTCGCAGTTGTGCCGCTCAATTAGAGTATGTAGAAAGAAGCGAACAAGAAGGTTGCTGTCTGAGCACTTGGCTTGGAAAAGAGACTGTTGCGCATGGCACGGGTGCAAGGCCCCGACCACGCTCTTTGGGCCAGTGCTGCCGGATGGAGCATGTGAGCATGCGTTCAATGGCAATGTCACGTGCCGACATGTGGCTAGACGTACGAAACTCGAGTCAGTGCTTCAACAACCATGCCCGCAGGCATGGCAGAAGCGCTTCCGGGTCCTCCTTTAAGCGATGGCTTGCGCAGTCAGCGTCAGGCCTCAGCCAACACTGCCGGCATGGACTCTGGCAAGCTACAGCGTTGTTTCTCCTGCTGTTTCCGTGCTTTTCGGCTGCGAAGCCAGTGCAGCTCCAGAACATTGCCTGAGCAGCCTCATCCGTGACAAGCGAACAGATTTCTCCGCATGGGCGTCGCGGCATCATTCTGCCCTAGGCACTAGGATGCCCTGGGCTTGCTTGCCTGTCGCAGCTGGTAGAAGTCAAGACCTGGCTCGGCTTCTGCGAACGGCTGAGGAGCAAAGTTCTGCGGCTGGCATTCGTTCAGATCCAGTCACGACCATACAAACTGCAGCGATGCTTGGCTCTGCCTCGGACCCTTACCGCCGACTAGCAGTCATGCAGCTTCAGGAAAGGCACTGTAGAGCCCAAAGAACACGATGTACATACCTCTGGCCACTGACTGGGCTGCCAATCTGAGCTCTGAGTACACTTGTAACTTGTAGACCGCACACGGTTCATGCTGCCCAGAGGCCGACGGACAGGTACCTTAGCTGCCACTGGGGCCCACCGCAACTCAAAGAACGCTGTTCTGGCGTCGTAAGCCTTTCAGCCAGCACACTGAGCCAAGCCGGCTATGTCGAATTGGTGCTTTGCTCCCGCGTCCCTGAGCACATGTGAACGAGGGGAAGGGCAAAAACTGTTCCGTTCTCATCGCCCCTAGTTGGACCTGACAAACGACCGTCGATCACCACTGTCATGCTGCAGCAGCACGGCTTGTCTTCCACGATGTGCATACTTTTTCATTTAGCCTGACGGCATTGGTCATGCTAGGTTTGTGTTTCTGCTTATGGGGTGGCAGGACCCCTCCCCCTTCTGGCTGAGCTGTCGAGGATTGATACTTATGTCTACGGTTCGTTTCCATCCATCCATCCATCCATCCCTCCCTCCATCCATCCATCCACTCATGCACCCATGCACTCAGCACTCATGCATCCAGCCAACTAGCCAACCATCGCATCCCTCCCTCTCTAATTACCTTCCTCCCTCCCTCAATACATCGATCGATTGCGTGGCATGGCATTGGATTGCATTACCAGGCATGTCAACACGTTAGTTAAACGACAGCACATGACGCTATGTTGCAACGCGCTGTCGGAACAAACCGGCCCGCCCCACCCATCACCACAAACGCCGGCCCACCCACTCGCACCCACCCTTAGCCGCTCCAGCCAGCCTCAGTCATGGCCACCCATCCTGTACCCGCTCATCCACCGACTGCATAAGTAGGGCTTTGGAGCTCATATGCATGTACGATGTTCACAAATGCATGGTCGTATGCGCATGCATCACATATGTGATATTTCTTGTCTTCATTTGCACGCGTGTGCTTCCATGTATGTTCACGTGCCTGGACAGATATACACGCATGTTGCAGCAGTTATCTACGTATGTATGAACGAGTGTGCCTAAGTACTAATTTATGTGGCAGGTAAATACTTACTTGGTTGGGTACGTAAGCATGTAGATGTGCATCTGTGCGTGTGTGTATGTATGTCCGTGTGTACGTAATATGTATATATATATATATATATATATATAAATATCCGTCTTTCTTTCTTTCACCAGGCTTGAGGGAACGAGCCCTCCACACAGGGGCTGCCCGCTGTTGACTGGGTGCATGGTATTACATGCGAAAGGCTAAACGTACCGTCTCTCTGTACGTACGTACCTACGCCTGTATGCATTACGGCTTCGTGAGGTTATGCCATGTAATTCACTGCAACGCTCTTACCTGCCGGCAAAAGTACAAGAATGCAGACGCATTGCCTGGCCGGATGCAAAGCCTCCGCCAGAGGTGCCGCAACGAACGTGGTCGCAGAGGCGACCGCCTTCCGTATGTGCCACCACTGCCGGACAGAATTAATTGCGTGGCGGGACAACATGGGTGTGGACACTCGTCATGGGCCGAGCATGGCCCAGCCACTGACTTACGCGTGCTTGCCTTCAGCCACCTCGTTTGACCCACCAGCTGGGAGAAAGCAGGACTCCTGCAGTAAAAGGCCGCATACGTCATGGTGCAGCCTGGCTCAGGCTCAAAAGTCGAAAGAGCAAAGGGTTGAAATCGAATGCTGGTTTTGGGGTTCTTCTGCCACTGCTCCAGTTCATTGGGAGCACATCATCCAACAGTCTTAGATGTAATGTCAGCCCTCGGCGTAGCAACCAACATCAACATGCATGGTGCAAATACATGGCTAGCCAGTATCTATACGCATTCATGCCTTACCGCTAAGAGCCAATGCGTAACATCGAGCCAAGCAGCAATGCAGCATGCATCCCATGAAGAAGAAAAGGGCAAATGCCTGGTGAAGCTTGCCTGCAATAAGCAGAGGACAGACTCACTCACACATAGGGTAGCCCCCACAAGCAATCCAACGACTGTCTGAGCAGTATGTCTACAAAGGCCTTCAGTAGACATCGTCGCTAAAAGCAGAGGTGGTGATGGTGGTGGTGGTGCTAGTAGTGGTAGTAGCAGCAGCAGCAGGGACAGTGGCAGTGGCTGGAGCAGTAGCAGTACAGTAGCAGTGGCAGCAGCAGTAGCAGTAGTAGCAGTAGTTGAAGTAGTAGCAGTAGTTGAAGTAGTAGAAGTAGTAGTAGTAGTAGTAGCAGCAGTAGTTGTAGTAGTAGTAGTAGTAGCGGTAGTAGCGGTAGTAGTAGCGGTATTGGTAGTAGTGGTAGCTACCACGACTAAGAACACTACCACTACTGCAGCAGTGGTAGAAGTGGTAGTGGTAGTAGTAGTAGTAGTAGTAGTAGTAGCAGCAGACGTAGCAGCAGCAGTAGCAATAGCAGCAGCAGTACTAGTAGTAGTGGTGGCAGCAGTAGTAGTGGTAGTCGTCGTCGTCGTCGTGGAAAGTAGTCGTAGATACGTAATGGTAGTGGTGGTAGCGGTCATGGTAGTGTGTGGGTGTGTGTCGTCGTAGTCGTGGTCGTCATCGTATTATGGAATTTCTCTCGCAACTTCTTGCCGCCTGGGTTCTTTGCACGCTGAGCTCACTGCTCGCTGAGGCAATCTTCTCCAAGATGCCCTGCTCCAGCGTCACGAGGCCTTGACTCGCCTCGGTTCTTGCATCCGAAACACAACCTTTCGGGACCACTGAATGAGCAGCAAGTGCCAGCAAAACGTTTAAGTCGAGAAGATACAAGGACCTTGCTGGGGAATAGGACTTGAAGCGCGCTGAAGCGCTGGAGGGAGCACAAAGAGCAATCAATGATGCAATCCTGTCCCGCTTGGATTGATCGGGCGGCAATCGAGCAAGAAGTGCTGCAGACTCCAAGTCTATGTATTTCTACGTGACAAGAAGCATGTTCTGTCGGGACGCCGCCCCGAAGCTTGCCAAGCAGCCGCCTAGCCAGCCATAGTATGCACCTGGGAAACTGGCAAAGGCCCAGCGCACCGCCAAAAACAAGACCCTCTGCGACAGACATGCTCGGGTGCAATCGCACGAAGCTGCTTGAATGCTGCCAGTACCAACTCCGGCTACTGATACTGCACAGCCACCAGATCAAGCAAACGGTGCCCAGGCACACTGGCCAAAGCCCGCAGCAGTCATCAACGGCGCAAAAACAGCCGACCAAAGCCGGACGCTGGATGCTAACAGCAATCCTGTCACCAAGAAACCGATCTGGTACAAGGTGTGCTCCTCGGCTACAGAGCGTTTCGCACTGAAATCACTCCCAAACCCTGCGAGGCATGGCTTAAGCCACTCCTCCTCCCTACCAGGCATGGCCTACCCCACTCCTAGTCCTGGCACGCATGGCTGAGCCTCCGGAAACCCTGGCCTTGGGGACATTGCACTGCTCTTGTTGTACCCTAGCTGACGCTGACTTTGTTCAAGTGCTGCTTTTTCATGTGGTTTTGATTCTTCATCAATGTCTCCAAACGCTTTGCAGCAGATTCAGTCTTGATGTGCTCCCCTGGCTTCAGATTGTACTGTGGCATATCGAATTTTGCTGACCGAGCCCTCTGTTCGGCTTCACAAGTCTGGGGGTCTGAGTCGGCTACAGTACACAACATGTATAGGATTCAGCTATAGCTCCCGTGCTACAGTGCACTTTGGCCAATCGCATGGTACCAGAAATGCTCCTGAGCTCTTCTTTGAGTGGTAGTCTGCGAACTGCATGGCTGCATCGAAGCATCTGGTTCCAGCAGTCCCAGAAAGGAGATCGGAGGTGTTGTTGAGCCTGGTGGAAGGTGGCCCTGGCTGGCTGCCAAACGGTAGACGCCAGCGATGGTGGCAGTTCCGCAGAATGCACCCAGACCGGGCACGGCCCAAAGCCACGAGGACTGAGCACAGTCTCGAGCCGACTCTGGCAACATGAAATCCGAATGACTGTGATCCTTGCAAGTGGCCATGCGCAGGGCCAAGTTGAGGACAGGTCTAAGATCGTGTAGCTGCAAAGTGGGTGGACTTAGAATCTCAAGTCATCAGTGCCATTGAGAAACCGAGGCCAACACAGATGTAGTTGTTAGGATGATGCAGAATCTGAAGTGTTTTGGGAGACCGTCCAGCTCACTCTTCCTAGTTGAGCTGAATGGCAATACATGCGGAGGTGCAGCTCTGTGGCAGTCAGACCGCTGACAGGATTCGGAGGCAAGTACAAACACAAAGAATCTGCACACGACACAGCTGAGCTAGATTCACGCGCTTCGGGCCCTGGCCAAGCCCCATCCACAAAGGCTTCGCCAGAGGATCGTCCTCGGTTCGCTCAAGAGAAATCATTTATCCAAGCAGCGGCATGGCGAGCTTTGTATTCAGAGGTTGAGGATGTGGGTGAGCTCGCATGCGCCTCATGTGAAGCGAAAAACCTTGCTGTCAAAAAATCCCGACCGAGCGCATGCCTTCGACCCAACAAGTCCTGCTAAGTCTTACTTTGTCTTTCTTCTCGTTGCCAACAGCTCCTTGCTGACTCTGCCGGCCCGATAGTCGCAGATATGCTAGTGCACGAGGAAGCAGTGAACAAAATTTGCCTACGTGAAACCTAGCCAAGCCACCCACCTGTAGCGCTTCGGGACAGGACCAATTACTCGAATGTCTCTGTCTCGACCAGAAACTTTTACGTCTGCATGCTGGCCCGTCTCCTCGCGGGGCATAAGCGGCGCTAGCTGCGCGCAAGCCGGGACCTGAGAACGGATGGCACATGAAGAGGTGAGGGCGTTGTAGTCATGGTTACCTCGAGCATAATACGATTCCAGGCACTGCTCGCACAGCGCCGCTCGCTCTTCCGCCGAGGGCCGTCCTCCAAGAGATTACTGGATATGTCATAAGACACAACAGCAGCAGTCTTTAATCCATCTTTGTTGGCTTGGCAAACTGGCGTCAATACAGGTGCCCCCAAGCACAGCGGCACAGCCCCAACAGTCCTCGTGATTGTTGCGATAGATGAATCCACCCCCCACTCTGGCACAAACCTAAAGGCATGTGTGAGCTGTCTCTGCCGGCATTTCCGCAATTCAACCGGATTTTGGATGTGATTGATGGCATACACGAGGCATACAGCTGCAGTTGTACATTGAACAAGCTTACTGGGATGCGAGCCGTTTCCTGGGAGTCACGCATTGCATGGCCGTCTGCAGGCTTGTCTACTCCTTCAAAATTACTGCCGAGCTTATTTATGCCAACTGAATCTTCGTGTTCCCACCTTGCCGTAGTCATATGCTTGCTATGATATTTGGGCAATCCTGACTCGGTCATGCGGCCCAATCCTGAAACCCTGGACACCCAGGTCGAACGTTCGTTGCAGAATCAATCTCGAGCCTTAAATCCACCATTGATTCCCAATGTGCTGTGACATGGGCGTGGCATTGGCCGATACTGCAGGCTGCAGGCTTATCTTCTCATTGATCCGCGTTAGATCGCGGATGCTTGTCAAAACAACCGTGTGCCGCAGAGCGCCGGATAGCTCAGCCTCATACTACAATGCAATGTTTGTGCCCGCATCGTTGTAAACAAATGCCTCACAAACAAACTGATACATAGCCTGAAGCAACGTTTTATGTATAGTCATGCAGTAGGCTGAGAATTATCTGTATAACATACATACATACATACATACATATATATATATATATAGATATGTACACCAACGTCGTTGATAGATGTGTACATGTGCGTGTGTGTTTGGAGATGTACACGTCTGAGTACGCTCAGTGCGCATATATATATATATATATATATATATATACATATATATATATATATATATATATCCACATTAGCGTTTTTACGTACGTATATATACACACAGTAATATACATATTATATAAAAGCAAGAACCACTGCGAGGTGCCGCGATGTCGCCATCAATCCTCACGCGTGTAGGCTTTTGGTGTATGAACCAGGCCTATAAGGTTTCGAGGGGAAAGCATGTGTATAAGTATCGGCAGCTGCCTTCCTTTCCAAGTCGTTGCGACCTTCTGCGAAATTGTTCCGAGAGATAATTCCTGAACGATAAAAATACGTTCTGTATGAATTCTCGAAGCTCAATATGGGCCCAAGATGGCCCAAGTATCAACTCAACCTTCGCAGTTATCGTATAATGACCTGGAGCCTGACTCCTACTTCTGAACTACAGCATCTCGAACACTAACCTTGCCATTGCCGGCCATTGCATTGGTCCCAATGTTGACAGTTATGTGTGCTCTCGTGTGCTCTGAGTAGCCTCCGGATATCCATACTGTCAACCTGAAAAGTCATTCTAGTAATAGCAAAGATGCTGACCCTGATATCACAACTTTATCTGCTGCCCGCCTATGTTCAGCTTGTTAGCAGTCCTAACACTGGCCTCGCAGTAGTTTGGATAGTCCACCCCCCAAAAAACGCCTGAAAGCTCAACGCAGTAGCTGCTATTGATTCGATTGCTATCCCGAATGCTAACCCAGTATTCGCTCGTAACCTGATTGGCACCCCGATAGTGGATACTGAAGTCTCCCTCACAACCCTCATATCCGACTGCAAAGTGGACCTTTTGCGCAACTTTGGAGCTTTGCTCGCAAACCAAAAAACACACGTTAGCTATCCCCATTGCTAGCCTTCGCAATGCACTTAAGACTTCCCACAAAAGCAAACCCAATCATGGCATAGGACAAACGCCTACCATTGGCCTCACCAAGAGTTTATGTACTCAACCCGGATGTATTGATGACCACGATCCTTAACTACCCAAACAACACGAACCTTCAGATTATTTGGCATTTGTCTTTCTGTCAAAGGCGACCCTAATATTAGCCTTAAGATAAGGCTTTAAGACTGTCCATGCAAGCCGTAATACCACCCAGCAACTGACTAATGTTTCCCCCATGTAAAACCCAAGTCAGAGCGAGTGGAAAGCGTAAGGATGACAATGATATCTTGGTGCACCCCGCAGGACTGGCTCCCCAGTAAGCTGAGCCTAACAAGTGCCAATGCACTGCGAAACGATAGATCGCTTTGAACCCTAAGCCAGTGAAGAACTTCCCGCGGACGCAGGAGGTTGGACAGCGTTTGCCCGTGACCGGCTGGTGTCGGACCGAACGGATCGATTGGACCGGAGGCGGTCAGACCTGACCAAACACATCGGCTCACCAAGATTTGGTCGATCGTCTGATCTGAGTACTGAAGCGACCCATGTCCCCGGAATAACGGAAATCGCCCGCCACAGCACAGATCTATGCAGCAATCGCAAAAGCGAAGCTCAACGCCTCTGCATCGTCTATTGTAGGGTCCACGACCGGTAGCCCGAGCTCACGCCAGCCATCACAGTGGCATAGTTCCAGGAGGTGCCACCAGTACGATCGACCCCCGGCAGAACACTGACAGTTTCCACCCCATGACAACGGGCGCTCACCAGCGAAATTCTGAACCGGACTCCGATCAGAATTTCGTCACCGGCAAGTATTGCTTTCTTAACACAGATACCCAGGGGACGTCGAGGTAATTAGATTGCCGACGGGTCCCTTATGAGTGCGGCCGGAACGCCTCATGGGACAGTGCCACTATACGGTTTGCAGTTCGGGAACAGCGACATGCGGAACCTGGATGCCGGAGGTTCCAATGCCTCTTTGCGAGCACGCTAAGGGAGCTCGCGGTTAGCGAGAAGACCTCCGCTACCAGCCATACTTGGAACGGCTCACGAGAAGTGCCCAAAACCAGGAGTGAACTCTCCAACTCGTTTTCGCGCTGCCCACCGATCGCTGAATCCACATCTCGACAGGATTGTGCCGACTTTGCTATCACGACGGTGTCCCTGTTTCCGACTCCGTGCTGGTTGGAACTGCCACGAAATCTGTCCGGCTTCGGCCGCCCGGATTCTCTCCAGTACCTGTGCGACCCAGCGGAGCGCCCTCCGAGCAATCGACCTGGGGAGGTGCAACCTGGACTGAGGATGACTGGAGGGAGGTGGAGGAAACGTCATGACATCCGTGTCCCAGTCCCTAAGCCGGGAAGCTGCATGATCGTAAAAAGTGAGATTCTAAGAGCCACAAATGGCCAATTTTTTTCCGTACACGTACATTTGCCGATCTACAGTACCGAGCTGGTCCTGCTTATCCCTACCTACCTAGCTCTCAGCCGGTCACCCATCGAAGGCAGTGTAAGGTGCTCTCTCTTCTAGTGTCAGCAGAGTATATCCAACCGCCCTCTGGAATCAAAGGCCACTTTTGCTCGCGCATGGAGCATGCCGAGACCCGACCAACGTTTCGCGGACGGCCTCACTTGTCCGTTGAACTTGTGCTTGTATCTTCCATAACAGCATGTGAAACTGCCCCTGCCATCACTGGTTCGAAGCTTCGCGCGCCTGACGGCCGATTCGAAGCGAACGTCTGACAGCAACTTTCCAGAATCACGCTCTGGCACCTGCATCAGGTGGATCCTGTTTTTCGAGCAGAAATCTGACTGCTGTCTACGTGAAAAGACACAGGAACAAATCCGGGAAATCACTGCATCCGACAAGACCGCTAGGCCTGGGCATGGCCGGTACTGCAGAGGCAACGAGAAGATTAAGTAGAATGTAGGCTGCATGTGCTTGAGCGTTTGCCACAAGCTAGAACCACACATTCTTGTGAAGGTGCGAGTCCTGTATCAGGCCGCGGTCAGCTTTGTCTCAAGGTCTAGCGTGTCTCGACCGGAAGTTACAGCCCTGCTCATGGTTTAATCTGAGTGTCACCTCGAGGCTCAGCATATTCTTCTGCAAAGCAAAAACGAATGGCCCAAGGGAGCCAACATGCGAAGTCCGAAATTGCGGACATGAACTGCTTCGTACAGCCTTCGTCTGGTGAATGCTGGGCTTGCGACAGAATAGCACATAGTCGAAGCACTGACAGCATATGGACAAAACAAAAAG